GGTGAGGGTTCGAATCTCCACGGGGAGTTCATTCCAGAGGGTCGGAGCAGCCACAGAGAAGGCTCTCCTCCGGGTAGTCGCAAGAGAGGAAGAGGAGAGGAGAAGAGAGCAAAGGAGAGGGGAAGAGGACAGGAGAGGAAGATAGGGAGGGGTAGGAAGAGTAGGAGAGAGGGTATGAAGGGGAAGAAGAGGAGAGGAGCAGGGGAGAGGAAGGGGAAGAAGAAAAGGGAAAGGAGAGGGGGAAAGAAGGAAGGAGAGAAGAAAGGAGGGAGGGAGAAAAGGGAAGAAAAGCAGTGGTGTGGTAAAAATAAATAAATAGATGCACGGGATGGTAAGCAAAGCAATCCCGATTATGTATCTTAATATTTTATATGGAAAAACGAATGTTTAAAAGTGTTAAAACAAAAGGTGAATAATAACTGTGAGAATGTATACCTGTAGATGAATGTATGAGATTAAAATTAAAAACCTTTTACAAAAGAAAAAAAGAAATCAAGGAAGTTGTTATGTATGATAGTCAGCTGGGTGTTTTTAAAAATCAGCACTGGGTGAGTGGAGTGGACCAATTGTATAGCTTGGTGCGAATTATGAATTTTTCGCTTCTTTTGGCTTCCGTTCTCCCACCACCGGTCCATCCCAGGTGGAGCCCAACACAAAACTGTTCCCCGCCGTTGTCGCTCTCCCAACAAATCAGAATGTCATCCAATTTGAACTGGGCAAACTGAAGGTAAGCTACACATTGGGGGGGGGGGGGAATTTCTTTTTTAAAAAAGTATCGCTTCTGGAATAATGGAGGAATCCTCCATGGATCAGATTGGGTTAGAAATATTACCCGCTGATTAATGAACACACAAATTTTCTTTTGCTTTTCCAACTCTTTGCGGGGCAGAATATTATGCCGATATCAGCTGCCATGTTCCGGAGCGAGCGGAGAAACCCGGAGCCCCAGTGCCCACCTCGCCTAGCCATCCAAATGCTGGCCCCCATGACGTGGAGCCGTATGCCCAATGAGTTTCTACGGGTGGACGTTGCTCGCTTCAGCGACCGCCATGGCTGGATGGTTGAGTGCCTGGAACCAAACATAATGATGGCTCTCCACATCCCAGAGGAGAACCGGTGAGAACCTAGTGATCTTCCATTTCACTTCAGAGAAGCAGGCTGACGCCTCCAGGGTGATGGCGTGGTGTTTCCCAACCCGAAAGGGATGGGGGGGGGGATTCTGGGAGTTGAAATCTGCAGGGGTCCCCAGGGTAAGGGAAGACTATTGGCTGCGTTTATGGTTCCGTCACTCAGTGATGGAATGATGTTGGGAAACTCTCAGCCAGGCATAGAGAAGGAGTCAAGCGGGGAAGTAGCCTTGAGTCTTTCAGCAGCTGCAAGAGGCATATAGCTTAACTTTGCTGTCTTCTATTCCTCTGGAGTAAGGGATGTGGTGGCTCAGCAGCTAAGACGCTGAGCTCGTCGATCAGAAGGTCGGCAGTTTGGCAGTTCGAATCCCTAGTGCCGCATAACAGAGTGAGCTCCCGTTACTTGTCCCAGCTTCTGCCAACCTAGC